ATGTTCCATCACAATATTTGGCAGATGCATAATGGCCTTCATACACTTTAAATTTTAACAGATTTTGGGAGGAATAGGTCCAAAATAATCATTCCAGTCTTTGAGAGAGAAACATCTATGCTCTAAAGAATGTTCCTAAGATAGCATTTTAGTAATAAATAAGACTTACTCCCCAGGAACAATCTTCAACTACAAGTAAAAGAATTAGAGGCTTAAACAAATTAATCTTAACTCATGTTTAACTTTGGGAGGAGAGGTCTGGGAACATAGATTCCATTGCTTTGACATAAATGAAAGAAAGGTTTTTGATATGAGTATTGCAATGACTAACATGCCTGCCTGGGAGAGCAAATGTTTGGGTTTGAGCACTTAAGTCCCTATGGGTAGAAATATTTAAAAGTATAAAATATAAAGATGATGAGGCCTGGAAGATATCATATATAACGGGACACATCTGAGCATCCAGAATCAGCCAAGAGGCAGTCTGACAGCAAAAACTCGATTTTAGCCTAGTCTTTATCCCCCCTCCCACATCTGGGGTCCGGTATCATCATATGTGAGGAGACGAGACTGGTGTCAAGATCACTTGCAGTTCTTCTGAGGAAGGCTGATACCCACCACCCTTCTTCAATAGATTCTTACAGGCCTCCAAAGTGATAACAAAAATGAAAACAGAAACCCAAGATTCAGCTAGTCAAGAACCAAGCTGATTCCCATGGTGTCAAAACAGAATAAGTACGGAGAGTTCTCACTGGTCATTTCAAAATGGAACTTTCTTTCCCCTTTAATGATTCTCATGTAGAATATCTGGGAGAATGAATCTTTCTCAGGAGAAAAGTTCAAACTCAGACCACAGCCTGTACCAACCTTCTTTCTGCTTAGCAAGAGCTGGTGGTATCAACAAACACCTTCTGTCCACATCCACTGATCTCATCAAGTAAACCTCTCACTTGCCAGTTCTGCCACAGGGAAAGGTTTCGGGAGAGTTTTTCCATTATGATAACTAAACCCTGACATATTAGCTACATTTTTTAATCCAGAAAAAGAATTAGATTAAGGAAAGTCGCAAACTTGATACCTCTCTCTTCCTGGAGAGGTAAAATGAATATGGGCAACTTTATCAAGTTTTAGTCTAGTAAACAAATTTGCCAAGCTACGTATCACTTCCTACTAGTTTAATCACATGTTAAAACAGCACTGATAAGGTGAAATAGTTAAGGCAGTGTTGCTCTCTTTCAAAAGCAAGGGGCACTTAAAACATAGATCCTATAAGAACCACACTGGAACTGGTAAATTTCAATAGTCAGCGTTCTATAAATATATATCCTACTTTCTTGTCATCCACTTTTCAACGACCAAATCCCCCTGACTGAACATCTCTGTTCGCCTTTATCCAGTCCTTCCCCATCATGTAATTCTTGCAGACCCACGTACCTTTTCACTGTCCTTAAAACTCCTGATTCCCTGTTCCCCAAAGGGCAAGGGACTAGCTTGTGTATCACGGCACATCCCATAGAAACTGGTCTATCTAGAATGTGCAGGTGCTCAAAAAAAAAACTGAAAGCATCTATTTTACCTCAGAATAAGTATGTGTATTCCTTTCTTGTTTCTTAAAATATCTTCATCTGAAAGGAATTTGAAGACCACCTAAGAATGAACACTTTCATTTCTCCAAAACCTCCTTAAAAAAGTTAATGCATACCAGTACTATCAAACTTATATACTAATCAGACCTCTCCATTTGCTAGGCCCAAAATGGAGTCACTTATGCTAAGCCTCATGTCAGCAAACCAAGAAAACTAAAGTTTCAGCTCTCTCAGAAATGGAATCTTACACTAGTCAATCTGGGATCATCTGATGATCAGCACTAGTTAGGTCAACTGCCCGATAATCCTTAGCCATCCATTAAAGGAAATAACTTTGCAACAAGCAACCTGCTTTTTTTGCCTATAACTTCCCTGTTCCTGCTTCCTTCTGCAGGAAGTCTTCATTTTGTACAGCTCCTCGGCGCTCCTTTCTCTCTGCTGTCCAATTCATGAATTGTTGAATAAAGCAAATAAGACCTTTCAAATTTACTCAGTTGAACTGTGTTTATTAAACCCTAGTTCCCCAAAGATTTCTAACTTACTTATTTCCTCTTAAAAATGGGATGGGTGGCAGGGGAATCAACCTCATGATTATTTAGTGTTCATAATAGTTTCTACCTTTAAAACTACAATTATTGCCGAGACCGGTTTGGCTCAATGGATAGAGCGTCGGCTTGGGACTGAAAGGTCCTGGGTTCGATTCCGGTCAAGGGCATGTACCTTGGTTGCGGGCATATCCCCAGTGGGGGGTGTGCAAGAGGCAGCTGATCGATGACTCTCTCTCATCGATGTTTCTAACTCTCTATCTCTCTCATTTCATCTCTGTACAAAATCAATAAAATATATTTTAAAAAATAAAAATAAAAATAAAAATAAAAAATAATAAAACTACAATTATTCCTGGTCAAGGGCAAATACCTGGGTTGCAAGTTTGATCCTCTGCTCCAGTATGAAGGTATACATAAGGCAACCAATCAATGTGTCTCTCTCACATCAGTGTTTTTCTCTCAAAAAAAAAATAATAAACCAAAACCGGTTTGGCTCAGTGGCAGAGCGTCGGGTCTGCAGACTGAAAGGTCCCAGGTTCCATTCTGGTTAGGGGCATGTATGTTGGTTGTGGGCACATCCCCAGTAGGGGGTGTGCAAGAGGCAGCTAGTCGATGTTTCTCTCTCCTCGACGTTTCTATCTATCTCTCTCCCTTCCTTTCTGTAAAAAATCAATAAAATATATTTTTTAAAAATATATAATAATAAAATAAGTAAATAAAAATAAAACGACTGAACATTTTGTATTCTACTAATAAATAATTCTATAAACTTAAAATCCGCTTCACTTTTAAAAAAATTATAGCCCTAGCTGGTTTGATCAGTGGATAGTTGGCCTGCTGACTGAAAGGTCCCGGGTTCGATTCCGGTCAAGGGCATGTACCTTGGTTGTGGGCACATCCCCAGTGGGGGGTGTGCAAGAGGCAGCTGATCGATGATTCTCTCTCATCGATGTTCTAACTCTCTGTCCCTCTCAATTCCTCTCTGTGTAAAATCAATAAAATATATTTTAAAAAAAAAAAGGAAGCAGTTGATCAATGTTTCTCTCTCATCGATGTTTCTCTCTATTCTTCTCCCTTCCTCTCCATAAAAATTCAATTAAATATACATAAAAAAAGAAATTATAAAGAAACTATAATATAAAAACATTTGAGTTCGCCTTTGTAAAACCAGTTAAATCTGTGTATTTTGTGTTTATGAAGAATAGAACATATTTTTAAATGACTGATCCTTTTTTTTTTAATACTGTACACTGAGTGCCTGCTGTGTATAGATCTGGGCTAGGAGATACTGTCCCTCTCTCACAGAGCTTGCAATCTGAAAGAGAAATTATTTACAATCTTGACAAATCATCCATTCCAGATATTCAAGCAAAATAAGTATTGTTTTCATTTTCAAAACCATATTGCATTCTAACAGTATGGTTGATGGAACAGTATTATGATGGATTTTTACTGCTACACTTGAAACAAACCAGCAAAAGTGAATGTGAGCTTTCATATAATCTCCTTGAAAAATCTGCCAAGATTAATTAATAGTTCCTTTACTATCAGAAGCCTAGGCCTTATTATAACTCTTAAGGGTAGAAACACAAAAAAAGCCCCAAGAACACTGTTTTAAATACCTCTAATAAATACTAAGTAAATCACATTTCACATAAATTAAAATGCGCCTTAAAATACTCTGGATGGAGATTCATAAGATAGGTATAAGGGAACAACATCTGAAATAAAAACCTGGTCACCAACTACTTATGCCAAGTGTCAAAAGCAGGGGGAGGGGGGATGCGTAGGGAAGGGTTTGGGACGGGAATGGGGGATGCAGACAATTATGTAATACCATAATCAATCAAGAATTTTTTTTTAAATGGGGTGAGTGGGAGGGGAATCAACCTCATGATTATTTAGTGTTCATCATAGTTTCTACCTTTAAAAATACAATGATTCCTGGTCAAGGGCACATACCTGGGCTGCAAGTTTGATCTTCTACCCCAGTCTGAACATGTGCATGAGGCAACCAATCAATGTGTCTCTTTCACATCAGTGTTTTTCTCTCTCTCAAAAATAAATAAATAAATAAATAAATAAATAAATAAATAAATAAAATGACTAGAATTTTGTATTCTACTAATAAATAATTCCATGAATTTAAAATTTTCTTCATTTAAAAAGAAATAATAGCCGTCACTGGTTTGGCTCAGTGGATAGAGCGTCGGCCTGTGCTGAGAAAGGTCGAGTCCAGTTTCAAAATCCGAATGCTTGTCAAGGCCCCGTTCCCATCCTGGGAGGAGGCCTACAGGTCTGCACCCACCACCACCCAACGCTGCCAACATCCTTCACATTCCCTGGGCATCCACAGCGCCCCTGTGCGTCATGCACACGCAGAGGCAGAGAAGGGTATGGAGAGTCTGCGGAATCCGATAGAGCTGGTCCTCTGGAGATTAGGAAATCCATGTAAACGACTCTCCCTCTTTTCTCTACGTCCCTGCCTTCTGCACCATAGCTTTGACTACACCTGTCTGCAAGGATTCCGTTATCCCCTCGGGCCTTTGATACAGCAAAGGGAGAGTGGCCTCTGAGTGGATGAGCGTAGATTTGCTCGCTACGTGCTCCCATCCTCTCCGGCCTAAGCTCCCCCAAAGGTGGCCTACCTGCTGGGGAGGGCTTGGGGTCTGGGAAGGGACGGAGGACAGCAGAGCCTGGACCCCAGCAAGCCACAGCGACCTAGGTCAGGTTCATCCCCGTCTCTATCCGTCCCCCCTAAATTTTCCCAGGGCACCCGCCCCAGGGCCCACCTTCCCCTCCCGCCCGGCCCCAGCCACCACCAATGCACCGTCCGCGGCTCTGCTCCGGGGATGGGCCTGCTCACCAGGCTCATGGACCCCAGGGTTGTCGGACAGCTCGATGACCAGCAGCTCCCGGCCCTCGAAGCTGCGCCCCACCGTGTAGATCCTGCTGATGGCGGTGCACTGCAGCCACACGGACACCAGCGCCTCGCGCAGCTCGGGGTAGCGGTGGTACTCGAAGGAGATGCCGTCCTCCTGCTGCAGCCGCCGGCGCCGCCGCATGCCCGCCGCCGCGGGCGCCCCGGGCTCCAGGGCTCCGGCGCCCAGCAGCCACCCGCCGGCGGCCAGCGCCGCGCACAGCGCCAGCAGCGCCCGGCCTCCGCGCCCGGCCATCGCGTCCCCTGGCTGCCCCTGCCTGCTGCCTGCTGCCTGCTGCCTGCTGCCTGCCCGCGCTGGCGGCCTCTTTTGTCTGCCTGCCCGGGTCCGAGCTGCCTGGCGGGCGCTGCGGGAGGTCGGCGGGTTGCGCTGCAGCCTCCCTGCCTGCGGCTCACCTTCTTCCCCCGCGGACTGAGGGGCCGCCCACAGGAGAGGGGCGAAGGCGCGGGGCGGGCTGCACTACCCGCCGCCCAGCCAGGGGAGCCGCAGGAGAAACCACTGCGGAGGGGCCGCCCGCCCGAGGATGATGCTCCTCTGCGCGGCCGCCTGCGTGATCCGTGGGCTCAGATCCACGTCAGAGGCCAGATGGCTCCGGGGACGCCCCAGGTGGGATGACAGCTGAGGACGGGCTTTGGGAACACGGCTATCACGGAGAAATCCAAGACCTGGCGGGTGGAGGAAATGCTCCTGGGTTATGCGTGAGTGGAGCCTTCTGAAGTGACACCTAGTCCAAGCAGACCTGGGTTTCCATCTTGGTGCACCAAGAAGTAGAGAATAGCCCAGAAAAAAAAAAATTAACAAAAGGGGAATATTGACAACCACTGGCCTTCACCTCGTGATGCATCGTTAATAACTTAACTGTATTGATAGTTCACACACAAACCCAAAGGATGGATTTGCATTTATTACAAGATCTGGCTGGCAAACTGAACACTTTAACTTTGAGGGTTAACAGAATTTTTTTTAAAAAAAATCATTCTATCAGTTTGCAGATAGTGTTGTTCATTGTATTTATGTGCATTCCTGGATTCTTCCAGAAAAATATGTATATAAAATACAAGTCTGGGGGTGAGATAGACAAAGGATTTAGTTTGGTATTACATCTTTCAGGAACAGCTTATCTGGGTGGTTCTTGGCTCAGAGTCTCTTACCTGGATGTAACCAAGATATTGGCCAGGACCACAGTCAGCTGAAGCTTGATTAGGTCTGGAGAACCTTCTTCCAAGAAAAAAAAAAAAAAGAAAAGAAAAAACAAAGAGATTGAATCCTATTATAAAAAATAAAAAAATAAAAAAAATAAAAACAACTCTGATCATGAGAGATAATATCTCCATTCCCCTTCAAAGTTACTATAAAAATATAAATTCATTCACAGCTTTAATACCTAGCCTTTAAAGGGGATTGATACTCCTGTAGCAACTCTGGAATAGATGTCATTTTGATGAGGTGCCATTTGGATTCAAGAACAGCACAAATCTAAACAAATAAATAACCCATTGATAGTTCCACCAGGCAGGAAAAACAAATTTTTTCTCTTGAAATAGGATCCAGATATTTAAATTATTTCATTGGATTTTTTAATTTTTTTTTTAAATGCTGCTATAGCTGGCTTCCAATCCCACTGACTCTTTCCCTTTCCCACAGCTTCATGGATCTTCTTTGTAATTATTTGGGGGAAAGCTGCCACTATAAAGACATGCCACCCAGTTGAATTTGGATCCAACCATGTTCCTTGTCAATGCAGGCAGAGCTAAGAACTGTGTGTTTTCAGCCATGACTAGCCTGTGTTTGATTACATGGTCCAGAAGTTTGAACCAGAGTTATAATTATGCTTCTAAAATCAAGCCCAAAAGAGCAACCTTGGAAACCTACAAAAAAGAAAACAGAGTAGCTAAAAACCAATAGCTTCACAAATTGGAAGGCTAAGATTTTCATGTTAGCTGTTTAAGGGCACCACACTCATTTGTGGCTCGATGGGTCGTATCAACTAGTAACACGTAAACAACATATTGTTCATTGAAGTCCTGTGCTGCCCTTTAGCTGTCTCTTTAAACAAGGGCGTGTTTTCTATTTTCTCTCAAATCTCAACTTTAACAGAACAATGTTCTAATCCAAACTGTATTGTTTTCAGAGATTGCTCAATAACTTCATTTGGAAATGAGGAACACTGAGCATGCCATGAAATAGTGCCTGCAAAGGTGGGGGGGATCCACAAGAGAAGTGAGTGGTCAATAGATGGAAGCCTTCTGTGTCCTTTCACTCCTGGTTGGGACAAACTCCCCAGTCACTGTACCCTCTTACTAGCCACTGCAGTGCCTGTCCAAGCATTGCTGCTTCAGAATCCTTCCTCCTGCCTTCTGAATTCCAAACACCGGTGCCTGTAGTTCCTTGTTAGCATTGAAGAAATTCTCTTAGCCAACCTCCGTTCACACTCTGAAGTGCACTAACGGATGCCCATGTGCCTGACCAGGGCTGGGGCTGCTCTCTCATTTCTTTCTTTTCTCTCATCACCGCATTGTATACATACCAAGGGTCAGTCAGGCATGTCACCAAAATGTTCATACCACTTTTACTTGTACTTGTGTAATAAGAAATTAGGTAAACTGATAAATACAAGGGTAGAAAAAAGCTGGTTGCCTTTGGAAACACTTTAATATTTAAAATCGAATTAGGTATAGATGAGAAAACAGTGAAAGACAGAAAAACTCGTCAGTCTCTCAAGATTCTGTTCTTAGGTTGGTTAAAAAACTTGTCCCTTTGCCTGGCCTGTCTGGCTCAGTGGTTGAGCATCAACATATGAACCAGGAGGTCACGGTTTGATTCCCAGTCAGGACTTATGCCGGGGTTGAGGGCTGAATCCCTAGTAGGAGGCGGGTAAGAGGCAACACATTATTGATGTTTCTACCTCTCTCTCCCTCTACCTTCCTCTCTGAAATAAATATATATATATATATATATATATATATATATATATATATATATATAAATTTTTTTAAAGACTTGCCCCTCTAATTTAAAGAAACTAAAACTGATAATGATAGAAAATGCATATGATTTTTTAAAAAGGCCATGTTGCTACAACCAGCAACCAACCAATTGATGAGCATATGTTTATATTTTTAAGTTAAAAGAAATTGTTAAAATTGTGCTTGGACACGTTGTGTTCTTTCAAATACATTTTTATTGATTTCAGAGAGGAAGGGAGAGGGAGAGAGAGATAGAAACATCAATGATAAAAGAGAATCATTCATCAGCTGCCTCAACCCACAACCCAGGCCTGTGCCCTGACAGAGAATCGAACTGTGACTTCCTGGTTCATAGGTCGATGCTCAAGCCCTGAGCCACACCAGCTGGGAGACATTGTATGCTTATAATCTCTTCTTTCACTGTTTTTTTTTTTTGTTTGTTTTTGTTTGTTTGTTTGTTTTCATTAACCAGCCCACTACCTGTTCCAGTTGTACCACTTAAAAGGGTAGATATTTACCATAGCAGATAGGTAACAACAAAATGCATTCTGAGCCTGCTGCTTGAATCAGCTGGGCAGCACTTCATTGACAAGTTATCACTGCCTGCATTTCTAATTACCAACTCAAATTAAATGTGGTGCAAAGGGTTTATCATTGTTTTCTTACAGCTCTACTCTGTACCAATACTCTCTATCCCAGTGGCCACTCCAGTCTTACTGACCTTCCAGCCATACTGCACCCCAAAAATATAATAGGAGCCATATATTTAATTGCACATTTTCTAGAAGCCATGTTTAAAAAGGAAAAAGGAAAAGGTGAAATTAATTTTAATAATAAATTTTGTTTAACTCCAAATATCTCAAATATTATCATTTTAACTTGTAATCAATATAAAATGTATTACTGGAAATAGTCTTTCATGTTGTCTTTAAAATCTGTTGCATAATTTACATCATAGCATGTCAGTGCAATTCAGATTAGCCATATGTCAAATGCTAGTAGCCACACATGACTAGTGACAACTGTATTAGACAGCTAACAAATCTTGCTATTTTTATATTCTTATTTTCTAAAATGATTCCTTCTGCTTTATCTTCAATTACTAACCAGTTATTTCTTGCCTGGAAGGACTGTGCCAGCATCCTCCCCTGGAGATTACTCCTCTCCTGCACTGGTTAAGACCATCTTCCCCATCATTCACCTTGATCACATTATCCACCCTCCTGTGATGTCCATCATTCAGTGGATCAGAACTAGCACTAAGACCCCTCTTTCTTAGGAAATCTTGCTTCTTGCAGCTCCTCCTGCTTCTTTCCCAACTTCATTCTATCTCTCAAGCTATTACTTCCATTTCCTGCACCACCATCCTCTAAACTACAACCATATTTATCTCTACACTAGAGGCCCAGTGCATGAAATTCATGCACTGGGGGTTGTCCCTCAGCCCAGCCTGCACCCTCTCCAACCTGGGACCTCTCACTTGCCTGCCAGCCTGATTGCCCCCAACCGCTCTCCTGCTGGCCCAATTGATGCCTGTTTCCAAGCCATCCCAGCCACCCCTCACTGCCCTCCCCTGCTGGCCATCTTGTGACAATGTGTGGTGACCATCTTGTGATGATGTGAGGGCGTCACTGGCGGCTTGAGGGTCACTTAGGCTTTTAAAAAGTGTTTCCCAAACTTTTGACATATGTGTACCCCTTCTATAATTTTTGTAATGCTGAGTACCTCTCGTACTTATGAGAATGTAGAATTAGGCACAGCTAAGCATTATGCAGTGCATATCCCCACCAAACTCCGGTGCAATGAGTACCCCCACCAAACTCTTCCCGTACCCCTGGGAAACACTGCAGATGACCCTTAGCTCCTAGGCTGTCTCTTTCCTCCTCCAAAAACCAATTTTATTCCCTGGACCCTGTTTCTATGCTTCACTTCACCAGGCAATCTTACTCTCTTCTATTCTTTAAGGTCCTCTTTCTCTTCTTGAATTTCTCCCTTTGCACAATTCTCTCCTCTTGAAAAACAAAACAAAACAGAAATTCTCACTTGAATTGACTTTCCCCATTAATTTGTCATCCAAACATCTCAACTTTCTCACTTCTCATTCAACTTTTACTCTAAAAGTTCTACTCGTCTAATAATACTTAACACTCGTTGACCTTTCTGAGGCTTCCTCGGGGTCCACACTTGGCCTTTCCTTCTGCTCCATCTTCATACTCCAACTCGTGGTTTCAATTGTTACCTCTCTGCTCCATGTTCAGAGCTCCCAAGATT